GAATGATCTCCCAGGGTTATTTCTGACTCACAGGGCAGGAAACGTTTCGGGGTTTTAAGCCGAGCTGAATAATGTGCTCATTTCCTTGTGCCGACTACAAAGCACCTGCTCCAGGGGATTTATGGAGTGCCGGCCTCTCACACTCGCTGCGCGGCTGCCCGCCCGGATGTTTTTATTTTCCCGGGATGGCCAGCAACTGCCAGGGCCTGTTTTCCTAAACACCCCGGCACGTTTCATCGAGGGCAGCCTGGGCAGAGCCATGGGCTCCAGCACACCGAGGATGCTGGAGTACCTGGGGTGCTGAGGGAACTGGGGTGGGTGCCAAAACCTGGGGTGTCATGGAGCAGTCACAGCTGGGATAAACAGGCCAGGAGAGTGCCAAGGGATGATGGAGAAGGATGGAGCATGAGGGTGAGCAAGGGAGGATGAAACCATGCGAGGGAGGGCAAGAGAGACTGTGGGACCTGTGGTGTGGGGCTGCCCACGCCATGGAGCTGCCTGACACCAGCTGTGGTAGGGAGGGATCCAGCCTGGCATGGGCAGAGTTTGTCCTGTGGCTGTGGACCTGAGGACACCATCCCATGGGAGACTTCATCCCAAGGCTGGGGACCCACAGACATCATCTGGTCTGGGCCTGTAGAGCCCCTGCAAAACACTGCACCTGATCCATGGAGTGGAAATGGCTCTCCCCTGCAAGGAGGGTCAGGGACACCCATGGGAGATGCAAGGCATGCTAGCACACCTCCCAGCCCATGTTCCTCCAGTGGCACTGATCTCCATCCAGTGGGCAGCCAGCCTGCAGAGTAAGGTGATATCAAGTTTTTCATCATGTCCCCTCCACTTTGTCCCCTTTTTGGAGCAACAGCCTCACTGCTTTAGTCCTGGTGGGGTCAGCTCCAATCCCACCCATAGTTGCAGCCTCCTGGAGCTATCCCATCTGGCTGTGGGAGCAAGGATGGGGTGAGCCAGCTGTCATTGCCTGGGTGGCCCTTTGTCCCCTCGTGTCCCCTTTCTTGGCTCCTGCTTGCCCAGCTCTCTCTGATGCCACTACTGGGGTCCAGCTGCTCCGGTGAGCACTGACTGTTCAGGACATGGATCAGGGCTGACATCTGCCCGCACCCTGCCCACACCCTGTCCCAGTGCCCTGAGGTCTCTGTGTCTTGAAGCATCCTCAGGGCTCTGGTTGAGGAGAGGTGCTCACATCCCACAGTCACACCAGGGCCCAAGACAGCACCAGGATCCAGTGTTAAGTTTGGGTTGGTTTGCGTTTCATTTTTTTTTTTGCTGTTTAGAGAGAAAATAAAGTGCTTGTGGGGAGCAGGAGCCAAGCTCCTCAGTGCCTAAAACAGCAATCGCAGCACTTCCTCGGATTTATGGTGTTTGCTTTCACAATGCCAGCCGGGATCCTGTTTGCTTCCTGCTCTGCAGCTGCAGTCCCAGCTGAAGGCTCAGGAGATTCAGGTTTTATAACACTCCTGGATCCTGCCGATGGCAACTTGTCCAGCATCGTTTATTACCCCCGTGCCTCCTGCGGGGCCAGGGTGGGTTGTTGTCACCCCATCCCAGCACCCACCAGTTTGATCCCACCTAAGCCTGTCCATAGGGTCCCATCCTCCAGCACTGGGGGCTTGAACAGCAGGTTTGGAGAAGGAGCACCCAACTTGTGCTGTGAGAGGAGACCGGTCATGCTGCGCTCTTGGTGGGGTGCAGCACCCAGCTTTTTTTGGACACAGCTACAACCGGAAAGCCAGGCCAGGCTGGGTCCTCCGAGGGGGGATGCTGAGCCATGGAGTGATCTTCTGTGGGGTCCTGGGGTGCTGCAGGGTTGTGACTGCTCCTCACCAGCACGCAGCATGCAGTCAGTCCCTGCTCTTGGCCTCTGCCTGATAAAACAAAGTGACTGAGCTTACAGTGAGGGACTTCTTCCCCTACAACCTTTCTGTGGCTCTACCCCAGGTCTCAGTTGTCCCCACAAGATCTGAGGACCAAAACCAGCTGCCCCCTTTTCCACAAAACCTCCTCCAGGATGCACCAGTTAGCGCAGCCGGAGAGGATGCCAGCTCCTCCACCACAGCATCTCTTGGGTACCCGAGCTGCAGCTCTTGAGCACCGAGTCCAGCTCCAGCTGCTGCTTTCCAAGCTACAAGCCCCCTTCTGCACAAACAGGACCAAAATGCTCTAGACTCCCCATAGGTGTGTGCTTGGACCAGACAGGTGCCCAAGGACACAGAAGTGGGGGAAGGATGGGACCAACAGGCTGTGGAAGGGCCACCAGCCCCATTCCCAGTGCACAACCACAGCGTGGAAGGTGCTTCATTGCCCAGGTCCCTCTGCAATGTGCAGGGGGGTGTCCTGACCCCCTTTCCTCCTCCTCTGCTTTTACCCAGTGAACTGCTTTGATGAAAAGCCCAAATGTCACGAGTGGGCTGGTAGCCTTAAAACTTCTCCTTGGGAAGCCAGAATGGCTGCAGAAAACCTGGGAATGCCTGCTTATGTCCCCAGCAGAGCAGGGGCGGTGCCCCTCCACACGGCCAAGAGATGCTCCTGCCTCAGATTTTCATCACCCCTCTGGAAGCATGGACAGATCATGAGGGCCTCCAAATGAAACCCACCACTGCTGTTGAACATTGGCTGCACTTGGCGATGAAACGATGATGGATTATTTCACTGTGGTTACTAGCGTGCCAGACTTCTTCCAAGCACACAATAGGGATATTCATTTGCTGCTCCGAGAACGAACGCTTCTATCCTCCCTATATAGTAACAACTCTGCACCAAAGGGCAAGCTTCATTTGTCACTGGTACACTGCACCACCCAGGCTCACAGCCCTGCGGACCCCAGGTTATTCATGGGTGCACCCAGCTCCTCTGATTTATTGTCAGCCATTTCCAGCTGATCCCACTTTGCTGCCATCCAACCAACCCATCCAGAGGGACACGGCATCACCCAGGGGCTGGGGTCACTCTCTGATGGGCAGAGTGGATTCAAAACTGGGGCTGCTCCCTTGGAGATGAGAGCACAAGATACAGGATGGGGGTGCAACGGGATGGTGAGGGCGCCCAGAGCACCAGTGCCTTCAAATCCAAAGGTGGCAAATCCAAAGCGGATAAAAGGAAACATTTTTAATTTTTTTTTTTCACACCATGCTTAATTAGGCTGCCACAGGAAAATGCTCAGGCCAAAATTTAGCAGGATTCAAGGAGGGATTGGACATTTATGGGGATAACAAAAATATCCAGCTATAATAGCAGATGCCAACATAAATTCTGGAAGGGACATTAAGCCTCACGCGTCAGGGTGTAAACCTATCACAAACTCTCAGAAAAGTAGGGAGCTTAACGCAGGGGCAGATGACCCACATGTGCTACCGCTACCGCTGCTCGCTGGCCCAGCTGGACCATCCTGCAGCCCCACTTCCTGCTGCCAGCAGTGCCTCTGAAGGGGCTGCGAATTCCTCCTGGCAATCCAGTCCTCCTCTTGTAGGGGGTGCGTGGCTCTAGGGGTCTGACCATCTTGCCCATCACCTAATTTTGCTAGCTGATAACAGCCTTATCACTTCAACCCAGAGGCAGCTCCGCTGGGTAAGGGTCTGTGTGGATCACAGGCACATCCCTGGGTGGTGTGCAATCTTCTCACAGCTTCTTGCTTCCAGCAAAGCCCCTCATTCCCCTCTTTGGTCACTTGCTGCCCAAATGCACCTTCTCCTCATTTCATCCCTCCTGTTCCGTGTTTCTGCAGGGGCTGGTCTCCAGCCTCTGAAAGGGGCTGCTTAGCTCCAGCATCTCATGGGTGCTGCAGGTACACTTCTCATGGGTGCTGCACATACACGTCTCATGGGTGCTGCACATACACATCCCATGTGTGCTGCACGCACGCATCTCATGGGTGCTGCACATACACATCTCATGGGTGCTACACATACACGTCTCATGGGTGCTGCATGCGCATATCTCATGGGTGTTGCACGCACACATCTCATGGGTGCTGCATGCACATATCTCATGGGTGCTACACACACATCTCATGGGTGCTACACACACACATCTCATGGGTGCTGCATGTACACATCCCATGTGTGCTACACGCACACATCTCATGGGTGCTGCATGCACACATCCCATGGGTGCTGCATGCACACTTCTCATGGGTGCTGCATGCACACATCCCATGGGTGCTGCAGGTACACATCTCACGGGTGCTGCATGCACACTTCTCATGGGTGCTGCTGGCATAAGCCCTGGGTGATGCTCATGCAGAGCCTTCCTCACCTGCTTCATATCAGTGGCAATCACCATACTGCTTGTTTTTGGCAAAAAAACCCTGCTGTCACTTGCAGCCCTTGCATGGCCACTACTTTGGCATGGCTGCAGCCCAGGCTGGGGTCAAACTGCCCTGCTGTGGTACCCGAGTACCTCCATCTCCGCCGAGGATGGAGCCATTGCATCCCTCACTGGTTTTTAACAGGACGCCTGTGCCACTCCAGTCCCTGCAAGATTGGATGCTCCCAGGACCTTGGCTGCTGTGAGGGATCAGAGATGGCTCAGCATGACCGCAGGGGAGCCTGGAGCTCTCCTGGTCAGGGGCCAGGGGGTCCCACACTCACTGCTTGCATGGTCACCACCCTGCTGGGGGCAATCCCGCTGGGGTCCCTTGAATCGCCCCTTGCTGCGAAGCCTTGCACCCACAGGGGCTTCCAACTGGAGACATTTCTGGAGGGCATGAATCAGCTTTTCACAGCTTGTTAAAAATCTTGATCCTACCTCTTGTTTTCATGTCTTTCAAATCAGGAAATGAGTTTTACAACTTTTCCAGTGGGGCACAGCTGGTGGCCAGGGTCGTAAAGCTGAACTTTATAAATATCTCTTGTTGGGATCAGGGGAAGAGCATTAAAAAGGCAGAGAGTGAGAGAGAAAAAGAGAGAGAAGGGAAAGGAGCAAAGGCAATAGAGAAGCAAGGCAACCTCGGCAGGACAGTGAAGAAGCCCAGCTCAACACCAGCCATGGCCATGCAAGCACAGAAGATGGGGTGCGCCTGGGGCAGGGTTTGCCTGCTGCTCTCCCTTCTCCTTCAGCTGCCGGGCTCCCAGGCCAAATGCTACTTCCAGGCTAAAGGTAAGTGGGGAGGTGCGATGGGAAGATGCTGATGGGAAGAGGAGACCTCAGCTTGCCATGGGGCGGCGAGCCTCTGCCCTGTGTGCCTGGGAAGCATGAAAGGGACTGTGCTGAGCTCAGGGCCAGTGATGAGTGGAAGGAGCCGTCTATAAACCACAGAACAGCTCCCCAGGGTGCTGGCTGAGAAACAGCTCGCTGGGCCACAGAGAGCTCCTGGCAGGAACCTGGCTGGGGCCAAGTGTGCAAGACCAGCAGCAAAGGCAGGAGGACTGCCTATCTTTCCTCTGCTGCCTCCTCCCAAGGCTGCAGGGGTGCTCAGACCCCAAGGAGTGGTGGATATACCCTCTCCAGGGAAGCAAGAGCCACCTTCTCCTACCCTAGGCCCCCGGGTTGGTGGGGAGTGCCACAGGGCATGGCCAGGGGAGGATGGATCGGGGCATCTCCCTTGGCAGATACCTGGGTATTCCATACCTGCAGGGTGGCAGAGAGGTCACCAAGTATATTCTGCACCACAAGGTGGGTGGGACACTGTGACATTCCCCTGTCCTCTCTTTCAGAAGTGAGCGGTGCCAATGAGACTCCCACGCATCCTGGCACAGGACCACGGGTGCTCATTGCTGCTGTTTTACTTTGCAGCTCCCTGCGAGTACGAGGGGAAGCAGTTCTCCCTCGGGGAGTCGTGGCTGAGCACCAACTGCCTGCTCTGCACCTGCCTGCACCCCATCGGCGTGGGCTGCTGCGAGACGTGAGTGATGGGCCCAAGTGGCATTAGGGGTGGGCACCCATAGTGGGAAGGAGGTTGTCTGGGTCTGGTGGGTGCAAATGTCAGAGCCCTGGGGGGCTGTGGGACAGCGGGACCACGAGGACAAGGGGCAGAGGTAGGCAGAAGCCCACTGGAGTGTTTAGGGTGGTGGGGTGAGTTGGGTAGACAAAAGCGGGAGACAGGGGTGGCTCTGTCTGCCTGAGCTGGCCTGGGAGTCACCCCAGCAGCAGAGGAAGCCACCCAGCCCTGCCAGCCTCCTGGTATGGACTGGGAGGAATCTGACGGTGCCATGCCCTCTCCTGCAGCACCCAGCACCCCATCGACTTCCCTGACTGGTGTGAGGCCCACTACGACTCGCAGACCTGCCAGATCTCGGTGGTAAACCCCAGCCTGCCCTGTGTGAAGAGCATGGAGCACGAGTGGGGCTCGGCTGGCACCCCTGAACCACTGAGCAACAAGGTGCTGGGCATGGGGCTGAGCAGATAAGAGCTTCGTCAGTGCCCCACTCCCCCCGAGCATCACCCTCCCTCCTCCAGAGCACATCTCCTGCATGCTCCAGATCTGCCCCATCCCATAGAGACGTCACTGCCGCCACCTTTGAGAGAAACCACTATCCACACACTACGGTACTGAGCTAACATTTACACCCTAGCGCTGCCACTGCATGGCTTTGCTTCTGCCTTCAGCTTCCTGAACCGAAACGGGGGCCCCTCCCTGCAAGATGCCCTGCACACCATGGGAACGCAGATCCTATGGGATCTCCTCCCAGGTGGGCAGGAAACCTCCACCTAATGAAGAAAGGGTAACAGGACCAAATTAGCCTGCATCATGCAGTCTTGTAATCCCACATCCAGCCTCAATCTCCACAGCTCCCTCCTCCGAGACCCCCACCTCCACGCACAGCGGCCACTGGGAGCTCACTCGGGAGCACCACAGCCCTTCCTGCAGGACCTGTGCACCCCAGCCAGCCCCTTCTGTGCCCCAGAGCATGAGGGGCACAACCCCCCTCTGGAACCACTAATGCCCCTGCTCCTGCAGCTCCCGGGGCTGGAGGGGATCCCCGGCACTACAGGCCAGCCCTGGGCAATGCTGCAACAGAGCCAGCCTAGGGCACAGAGACAGGTGGAGGGGACCCATAGAAGATGTCCCCACAGGAGGCTGTCACCCCAGCTGCAGCGGGACAGGGAGCTGTGTGCCCTGCTAGGGTTCAGAGAGCTGAAGCAATTCGCCTGTGCCAGGGTGGAGCCGGCCACCCTGGCAGCCTGCCCCAGCTGGTGCCATGCCTGTGTTGTGCAGAGCCTTGTGTAGATGTTTCTGTTCTTGCAATAAAGATATTAAACAAACAGGACGCCTCCAGCCTGTGACTGTCGCACAAGGCTAGCTGTGTCCACCGTTGGGAGCAGTGTTGGAATAAAGCTCTTGCGCCAGCTGAGTTCTGCACATTCAGTTGTTTAATAGATTTCCATGCAAAGAAGAAAACTCTTTGAAAGGTTTGCTAGAAATAGAGAGCTGGCTGTTGAGCAGGGAGACCTTCATCCCAGCTCCTGAATGCAGAGCACACATTCACTCCAGCTCCCCAAGGATCCCAAAACTAGCAGGATGCCTTCACACTCAGTGCAGGCAGAGAAGAGCCCAGGCACTCAGTGCTTGTTCTGTAACATCCCCATCATGCTTCGACAGCACTTGGCCCCATCTGGGACACCAGGACCAGCCTCCTCTGGGTGAGGGCAGCGGGAGCACTCGGCTGTGCACACAGCACACCCCTCACAAGAGGCAGGATGCCTGCCAGGGCAGGACAGCGGGTTCCCACTCTGTCCAGGTGGCCAATGTGCCTCACCTGGATTACAGATCCCTGCTTGTGAGGTTCCTCTGTAGGGGCACAGCCTTCATCCAAGGCTGGTTTAGGGCTTCACTGAAGAGCTCTGCCCTCCTCTTCCTAGGCTGGGCCTTTCCCTCTTGGAAGCCCCTCATGGGGTAAAGGCACATTGGGCCACTCCCTGGGAGGCAGATGTCCTTTTGGTGACTGCCAGGACTCACATCTTCACCCAACAGGAAGGGTCCGGCTCCCAGCTGAGGGCTGCAGCACAAGATACAGTGGCCAGCACAGTGCTCCTCCACCCACAGGCAGGACAGCCTTGGCCAGTGCCTATCTGGGCATTGCAGATGAACTAAGGGGACACTGGGATGTACATCCTGCAGCACACCCAAAACAGTCCTGCCTGCCATTCCTACCAATGGCACACGCCTGCAGCACCGCAGGTCGCTACCAGCTCTCCCCACTTCAGATGGTGATGGAGTTTGTGCTGGAGAACTGAGATACGTAGGAAGCCAGGATGGGGTTGGTGGGAAGGACTTTGATGGGCAAGTCCCAGCTGAAAGTGTCCACTTCTATCTGCTCCACCCCAGCCCAGGTGATGGCCTCTGACTGGCTCCCACGGACCAGGCAAGTCCCCGCCGACTCCCCGGAGGTCACAAATTCAAAGTGCAGCCTCCACTTCAGGGACACTGTGGGCAAGAGAGGGGTCAGCAGTCAACACCACAAGGGATGGGGACAGCAGCTGTCTCAGCATTGGCTGTCCTGGCAAGGGGACACGCAAATAAACCTGCTCATGCAGGTCAGCTCCCTCCCACAGGACACAGGTCAGGGCTGGGGACACCGCACTCCTGCGGATACAAGGGTGGAGTCCTCCATGGAGGCCACCTACCGATGTTGGTGGTGAAGCCTGGGGTAGAGCTAAGCGGGATGGGCAGGCTGAAGCTGCTCTGGGCTGTGTGTAAGCAGGCCTCCTGATGGCGGGCGTGCGTGCTGAAGGAGACAGGCTGCCCCCGCCGGCGCTGGAACTCCTCCTGGATGCTCTCCTCCGTCTGCAGGCTCACCGAGAACTGCAGGGCAATCGGCACGGCATGTGCTCTCACACAGCTCTGGCACAAAGCCCTGGGGCCTCTGCTTCCCAAATAAGGTCAGAATCGTAGCCCTTCCCCACCTCACGCTCCAATAAGACCTCCGCTGTGTCCCACTGAAAATCCTCACCAGAAACCCCACAGCGGTCTAGTGCCACCCCAATCTCTTCTCTCTCTCTCTCATCTGAAAACTCTGCCTCTCCTCGAAGCCAGCACTGACCTGCAGACATGGGATGTCTCCTTCCGAGAAGTTAAAGGTCCCAATGACATCCTCTCCAATCTTATACACAGTTTTAAAGATGCAGAACGTCCCCACCTTCCCTCGAGTGTTGCTGATGTTATACAGGTCTATGGGACAAGAGAACAGAGGAAGAGGGTTGCAGCAGGATGAGGCTCTGCTCCATATAGCGCTCTGGGTTTATCACAGACCCCAGCAGGTGCCTGCAGTAAACAAGAGCAAGCCACTCACTGGCTGTGATATGCTAGGGAGAGGGTCTCTGGCTGAATCAGGAAAAGACTGAGACTGGCAGGGAGGATCTCATGGGAAGCTCTAACCCAAGTGGGCCATGATGGAGCTGCTCCACAGCTGGAGCTTCATTTTGCCAATGACAGGTTTTTCCAGCAAGTCCTAAGCCATGCTTCATGACCAGGTTAGGACAATAGGTTCAAGCAGGGGATAGGACCTACGCAGGCTGCGTCGGGAGGTGGCCACCATGAGCAGTTCTGTCGCCAGGTCCGCCAGGCGAGAGTCTTTCTTTAAGCTCTCTTCCTCCTCCAGGAAGGGGTTTGAGGGTGCAACAGCCTCATCCTGTGGGAACTGGTAATCCTTGAGCCCTGGAGAGAAGGCAATAGAGTCACCAGAGCAGGGTGGAGCCAGGCCTGAGACTGCAGGGAGGGCAGCGCATCATCTTACCGTGCAGCACGAGGACACGGAAGGGTACGCGCAGGAGCTTGATGGGAGAGTTGACACGCTGGCAGCCGATGGTCAGCTTGTACACGTACTTCACCGACTGTCCCCGGAAAGACGGGGGGCCGTCTATAGGCAGCGTCTCACAGTACGAATCTGCAAGAAGCACAGAAAGGATTGCTTTCCGTGGCCAAAAGGGTCCCTGCACTGAGGGTCAGGACCAGCAGCAGGGCTGAGCTGGGTACAGTGCCTGGTGCTTTCTGCCATCTCCTCTTCCCAACGGCAGGCCAAGCACAACCTCAGCTTCCCTGCACCAGCGCACTACTCCTCACATCACATGCACCATCATCCGGCCATTGCTTCCAGCACATACAACCACACACACAAACTCTGCCTCAAAAGAATGCAAAAGATGTTAAGATCCAGCAACACAAACACATGAAAGCTAAACTTACTCATCACGAGTTCAACCTGAATTTGCCTCTGCGCACTTCCTCCGCATGCTGCTTTCGTGATGCAGTCACACGCTGTGGTTTCCCCAGGGCTCTGCCTCATGCAGCAGAGAGGTGCCGGTCAATACCTCATGCCTCTTTTGCTTTACACAAACCTCAAACTCAGCAACAAAAACTAGTTTCTTCCTGTGTTTTTCTCTGAAGCATGGGGTCTAAATGGCCAAGAAATAATTAAGAGACCTTCACAGCAACCTGCGGTGTATCCCCTTGACAGACTGATGACTTAGACCACAAAGCCTCTGACTCGGGAGACCTCTAAGAGGCCAGGGCCTGGCTTTACACCACATTCAGCCCTGTTGAAGCCCCTTGGCCACTGCACAAACCCCAGCGCTTCCCAACACAGCGTGAACACTTCAGCAGCTCTCCCAAACCGCATGCTGTATAATAAGAAAGGCGCAAACAGTAAACTGTGGAAAGTCTCCACCTCTCTGGCTTGCCCACCGTGACGCAGATACACCATGTCAGAAGAAGGGCAGCATCCTGCCGTGAAACCACAGATCCTTCCCCATGTCTGGCACATCCTAAACATTGAGGCTTAGATTAAAAGCTAGGGTTACATTTTAAATATAACTTGTAGATGTAAACTAACAGAACTGGAAGGAAGAAAAAAGCTCGTGCTAGTGTGTAGCACCCACAGGCTGTCACACCTTAAAACACAAGACTGTCCGGCTGAACCAGGGGTGCAGATAAAGCTGAGAACTGCCCTGACAGGGAGGAGTATCAGGTATTTCCAGGGAAAGAAGCAGACTGCTGCAACCCCCTGTATCAGGCTTAACAAGAGTGCTCAGAAAGACCTTCACGCCCAGTGAGGATAATCTGAGCAGAGACCACTGTCACCCAAGCAGGATGCGTGGTTTGCGACCTGGCACAGGAATGCTGAGGCTTGGGAAGTCCCAGCTTCTGTGCATATCCCAGAAGCAAGCACATTCCTGGTGTTGTGGATGCCTTCCTTACCCATCTGCTGTACCCTCTAGCTGGGCTCTCAGCCCATGTCCAGGCTGCTTCCATTTCCTCCCCTCTCTGTGATCTACCAAATATTTAAAGGTATTACAAAATTGGAGAGGAGGCAAAAACAGCCACAGAAATTACTTGAGGGCTTGAGAAAATGTTTTATGGTGACAAATTTAAAGAGCTCAGTCTGGGCAGCGTGTCAAAGGGATGGGAGGTGAGTCAACTTCAACATATAGGCACCATAACAAGGGGATGATATTGGGGAATAAGCTGGTTAGCAACTGAAAACAAGGCCTTTTATCAAGAGACAGCCTGACACAACCTCAGCTGTATGTGCCAGCTCTGGCTATGGTTTAATAACACAGCACTTTGATGAAGCAGAATTCAGATTTCTTGGGTTGTTGTTTTTTTTTTTGCCTTTCCAAACTGTGTAGCAAAACTCTAAACTTCTAAAAAACAGGAAATGAAGAATTAAGATACACACCCACACAGCCTTAACTCTGCCTCCACAGAGCTGGCAGGAGCCCCCAGGAATGATCTGCAAGCGTGCCAGCAGCAGTCTCACGTGAGAGGAGCAGCACCGCGTGCTGACAGGATCAGTACGAGCAGCCTGGTAGAGCTGGGGCCATGACACGGATTTCAGTGACAAAAAGCCGAGCGTCACACACAGCAGCAATCCATGTGACACACGCCATGGATGTGTGCACTACACAATCAAGGGAAAAGGCTGTAACATAATGGACAAGCAACCTCAAAGTGTAGAAGAGTTTGTCACCTTACTATAGAGCTGCATCCAAGTGCAAGGCAGATGCAGGCTGCTTGTGCCAGTGTCACGTAGAGGCAGAGCGGACACACAGACACACAAACACACTCTCGCTAGCTTAGCTAGGGGCTGAACAGCTTCTGCCTGCAAAGCCAGTGGACAAGGAAATCCTCTTAACCCATCCTAAACACCTGGAGGTTACTGCAGTCACTGATCTGCTCTCCCAGAGACTGCTGAGCCTGCCCAAGATGCTGCAGGAAAAGGGGCTTCCTCCTGCTCCTAGGGACTGGATGTTCCAGCCCCCCACCTGTCAGCAGTGAGGAGCACAGGAGAACCCAGGTGAGCTGAAACTTCTGCCTCCTCCCTAGCATGGCCACTTTCAGAAAGCACAGTAGACCTTGGCTCCAATGCAGCAGGGCCAGCTCCTTTTCCCCGCACGCTGCTGTAGAATAGCAAGTAAATACCTAATCGTGCTCGGATGACAGGCTTTGTAGCTTAGGTGGTACAGTCCTAGACAGCACCGCCCCAACACTGCTAACCACCTAGCCAAGCCAGGTTTGTTTCACCCTGTCCAATGTTCCCTCCAGTCAGGACCCTCCAAGTCCAGAAAGGCAGGAGATCCCAGCTTCAAAACCAGCACATCAAAGACCATGGCTCCTTGGTCTCACGTGCACCTCTGCTTTCACCTCCTCAGAGCTCAATGCTCCAGGAGAAACCCCTTCACCACCAGCACTTCCTCTCTGTTCCTTTCACTCTGCAACTTGAGAGGTCTCCGTTCCCTGCAGATCCCTAGGACAACCCGGGGAAGCTGTCCACGTGCAACTTGCAATGCCCAACATGAAGCTGCTGACCACGGGCTGCTGGAACACGAAGCACATCCGACACAAACTGACAGGCTGGGTCACAAAGCCACCAAGAGACAACAGCGCATACTTGTATTTTCCCAGCTGTCTACTCAGTAGAAGCAGCTGCCTCGAACTACAAAAATAAGTTGCTGCAAATTCCTTGTGAAAAGGATGAGAATTTCTCCAAACAGCAAAAGGGAAGTAGTGATGAAGGAGTCCTTAAAGGGGATCCACTGGAAGGACACCATTTGAAGGCTTTGGAGACATGGAGAGCATTGAGCAGAGAAAAGAGAAGTGCTTACTTTTACAGCAGGAAAACTAGAACAGACAGAAGACTCTGTGATCTCCAGGACGGCCACAACCTTAAGAGGAAGCACAGATCTTCAGAGGATGCCAGCCTAAATCTCAAGAATACTCCAGTGTGGCTGAAGAAATAAAGGCAGGGAAATGCAGCTGTGTGTAACTGTTCCTTCAGCTGCAGCCAGGTATTTCAAAATGTTTTACTTCTCACAGCTACACAATGGATCTGCAGGAAAGGATGTGGGCCAGGGGCAGCACTGAGGGACACACCATGGTACGCAGCCCCTAAACAGTGGAGAACAGAGTCTGGACAATGCAGCAGTTCCTTAGCACTTACACTCCCATGAGCACCAGAGTCGCCCACTTGCAGCACTCAGGTCTGCAAAGCTAGCTTGGAGAGCAGGGCTCCCCAGAGACAAGCTCTCTGAGCAGGGGAAGAGAAGACAAGGACTCACAGGACTTTGACTCCCCAGGATCCAGTCGCAAGTCACAGAAGAGGATCTTTGGTGGGGTGGACAGGATACACTGACCCCGCTCTCCTGGAAGAGAGGAAGAACCATGTGAACGCTGACCAGACTCAGTGTCCAGTCCAAGGGGGCATTCACCATGCCCAGGCCAGCCAGGCCTTCTCTTCATAGGGTAGAATGGGGAGGAGGAGAAGGAGTCAAGTAGGAAATATCTCACACCCCAGTCAGATCATGAAACACTCCCAGAAGAGCTGGGCAGAACACCTTCATGTTTTGCCCCAACCTAGGGCCACTTTTATCTCAGTACTAACAAGGTTCTGCAGCAGCCATCACCAGGGAATCACACAAGGAAAGTAGCACGGACTTTCTGCTCACTCCTACACATGCTGGCCTTAAGACACACATTACAGCCTGCTTGATTCCTGCTTGCTGTGCTCACACTGTCCCTTCCTGGGGTTACAGTAGCACTCACCTCTGTTGGGGACGAAGACTGTCTCATTCTCTGCTTGCACATCGTGCTTGCTGCCATCAGAGGGAGGGAGCACAACTCGGTTCTCGCTGGCATGAAACTGGCAGTGGATCTGGGCACTGGCCCATGCCAGCATCTCACTGAGAACAAAAAAGAGCAACACTCAAGTCTATGCTTTAAACATGGATTAGAGCAAGCATGACATTCAGAGCAGCACTCTGAGGCACCTCTGGTGCTCAGGACCATTATGGAAGTGGACAGACTCTAAAGCAACAAATATCTGCAGCCTGGGTTCAGCTGTCCCTGCTCACAGCACCTGGCTGACTCAAGCTTCTCAGGGCACAGACGTGCTCCCTCACCACAGCACTGTTCCCCTTAGAAACATCAACTTCTGTTTGTGTCAGAGCAGAGGAGGACACTTCTGGATCCTCCATAAGGACCTATTAACTCATGATGCAAGAGGTTCGCCGACAGCTATAAGGGAGGCAAAGGGGTCATATTAGAAACACAGAATCATTTAGTTGTAAAAGACCTCTAAGATCACCCAGTCCAACCATAACCTGTCCACTACTAAACCATGTCTCCAACCATGCACCCTCTCTGTACAGCCACCAGAATTGGTTGCATCCAGCATAAAAAACAGTCTCATGGTTTGGGCTCTGCTACGACCTCAGCCATTCCACATGGCAATTCCCCTGGCATTACTGACACCTTTCAGTTTCCAGAGCATTTATCTATTTTTTTATTTCAATAGAAGCCTCATTAATTTAGCCAGTGTATGCTTCCTCTGGTGTTTTCTAACATCATGAACTGATTAGTAAGCACTGACACCAGAGTTTTAGGTGGCACGGGGGTTTTTTGTGGCATCTTTCAATGTGACACATCAGAGCAGTTAAACATCTAGACGAGCCACGGAAAAAGGCGTGCTGCATTCATTTCAGCTGACTAACAATGCACTGTTGATCTTTTGTATGCGCTGGCTGCCTTCATCCAAACACGCGTTACTTACTCTACCCTGTTACCTCTAACCCCACATTTGTAATTCTCTGTCTTCAAAAGTATCAGCATCGCTTTTCCACAAGGGCTGCTGCCTGCTATACAGAAACAGAAAAGTGCTCTTGCTTAAGAGACAATGTTTACTAACTTTACATAAGCTTAGCATGATTACAGTACCTTCAAACACTGTATTCTGAATCTTTTTCCCCCCCTATTTATTTTCAGTATTGTCCAACAATATGCCACTGGATGGATTGGTTTTTTTCTAAGCAGACACCCAGAAAAAAATTTGCATTTGCCTTCCTACCAGCAGACCTGGCTTGTCCAACTGGCAGGGCACAGAATGATCCTGCACTGGTGCCGAGGTCACTTCCCTCCTCTCTCACTTCTCCCTACAACTCCTGTAGTCCATAAGCTACGGCCTTTGTGCATAAGAGCTCTGTTTCTTGTACATCTTGTACACCACAATCAAATTCAAGTTCTGTCATTTACTTACTGTCCTTCAGTTCTGTTCCTATGCTTGAAATGTGTACCTTTCAGTTCCCCCACCTGCACCACACCCTCTGCTAGCCCCGAAAATGTCTTATCCTCGACAGGTCTGTCTGCCTGGTATCTGGCTCTTGCCTATACACAACGCACAGCTTCAGTTTCCAAATCACCGATCTGTTTGGTGTTGCTACTCATATGACTTAGTCTGGTCTTGTCAGTTTGGACACCTGCTTTTTTATTTTAAAAACTTTTCTTTTTCCAAGAGGCAGTTTTCTACAGACCATAACATGCCTGAAGTCCCCAAATGAAGCTCCCGTAACCATGCTGCGAGCCTCCAAAAGTGCTCCACCTAGTACCATTGCAGTCCCACATGTTTTGAAACTGGGAAAAACAGCATTGTCACTGCACAAGGAAAAACTCTGGAAAGCTAGATGTTCACGCCACAAATTAGTTTTAAAGCTGAATTCAGCAGGCAAGAGGAACCAGGAAGAAAAGATGAAAGCTAAGGAAGGCAATAAACAAAGACGCCCTACAGTGGTAATATAAAAGACAGCTTTGCTGCTGCTGAGAGTGCACACACTAGGAGTGAGTACATCAAAACAATCACGTGTGAAATGCCTACTGGTGATGAACAGATGCTGAAACTGATACAGTTGAAAAAGGACACTTCCCAGGAAGCGCTCAAGATGAGAAAGCACTCTCCATCCGGTGGAGTATCAGACACACTCAGCAGACATGGAGGCTTTGATGCAGAGTCACTACCTGTGAGCCAATCTAAGAAGCTCCCACCTTTTCACGCTTTCTCAACACCTACTTCAGGCACAGCAATGACAAGAGGAGAGGCAGTGCTCAGAGCTGGGTCACAGAGAATGCTGTCACCAGGCAGCGCTCACTCCTTTGCCTGCCAGCTCTGGAGGCAGGGATCACACAGCGCACCACTGGACAGAGAGAGCTCCTTCCACAAACGCAGGAAATGCTGACAGCGTCTGGATGCTGCCCTGTGAGGCTGTCAACCTGGTGTAACTAGATATCCCGCTCCAACAGCCAGTTAAACTAGTGCCCCCGCCCCACCAGCCATTTGGGCTTCATTTTCTGCCACTAACTCTGTTGCTGAGGACTCACCTGAGGGGCAGTAAGAGCATCTCTAACTGCATACTTTTTTCCTAGTCTCTTTCTTGGGGGCAGAAAACCAGAATTATTACCTCAGCTTCAACCCTGAAATAGTGATGGTGCTACACATCCTTAAAGGAGTACCTTGGGCAGGGAAGTCACCAGTGGCTGAGGTGGCACTTCTGCCACTAACTCTGTTGCTGAGGACTCACCTGAGGGGCAGTAAGAGCATCTCTAACTGCATACTTTTTTCCTAGTCTCTTTCTTGGGGGCAGAAAACCAGAATTATTACCTCAGCTTCAACCCTGAAATAGTGATGGTGCTACACATCCTTAAAGGAGTACCTTGGGCAGGGAAGTCACCAGTGGCTGAGGTGGCACCATTGCCCCACAACCCAGTCATGACTACACCTGGCTGCTCGGGAGGGAGGAAGGCAGGGAAGGAAGGCCATTCCCTCTGGAGAGACCCACACTGCTCTGCCGCCACACAGCTT